TATGCTGGCATGACTCTGAGCTGGATGCGAAGATGCATGCTCTTCAGCGGAGCATTATCTCCAAAATCTTGGAAGCGCAACGAGGCATTCCTGATGATCATGGTGTTGCATGTCCCAATCTTGCCGGTAAGTAGCTATGATAAAGCTGTGCTTAAAGAACTCCCTGGCTAACGTCCGTAGGACATGACGTTAGTGTCGAGAAACTGTACGGTCCTAACTTGCCTCGATTACAGAAGCTGAAGAGGAAGTATGATCCACATAATGTATTCCGCAAGTGGCATGATCTACTCGCACCAGCAAAATCCCATGTAGAGCAGACAGACAAATCTTAGTATCTGAGTTGATCCATTCATGTGAGGGTTGTGCTAGTCTGGTGAGAAATTGAATAACAAAGTTGCTTAATCGTCACAAAGAACGGTAAGGCTGGTCTTCAATCGCCCGATTGTGTGCTATGTCAGGCAACCCAGGAGGTAGAGGCTCGCCAATGACTGAAAGGGCATGTACACCGGTTAGTAATAAAGTCTGTATTTTGCCTCGAGGCGATCTGGAAATTCAGTCCATTCGTAGCTGCTTTGGGAAAGGCCTGTTCGTTTCTCCGCGGGCTTGTTAATTTGTGGATATGGCCCATTCTAAGGTGAAGAGAAGAACTATCGGAATGCTACAACCATATTCACTCCCTAGTGTGAAGTATGGTGCTCTCACGTTGAGCAGGTATAGATCTTAGGAGCATACTTCGTTTCGAGAGTTGCAAAGAATGAATAAAGGCCCTACTCGGCCGAACCAACACCTACCTTCCGAGTTGATGCCGTCGCCGGCCGGATAATACACGCCTGTTCCTTCCAGACGAGAGGTCTGGCTACTGTATTTTGTACTCTTGTCATACGATGTTCACAATGCAGTTAAAAGAAATTCTGATAGTGTCATTTGTGCGTAAAGCGAGAGGCGGTGTCTATTGTTCCTCTGGGACGCCGAAAGTTTCCCCGCTCCAGGCCCGGCGTTCGGCAACAACAGCCCATATAGGGTTGTCCCGAAAACAACCCGGAAGGCAAAAGCTCATATAGTAGAGGGTATATGAGCATCGTGATCTGTTGATGTTACATGGTGGGTATGATCGGTCATGATTAAATTAATCAATATAGGGTTCTGATCTTCATAAAAAATGAGTTCCATTAGCACGCATTTCGACGCAGAGTCCTGGTCAGGAAGGCCACTAAATGTATGATGATCCACCACAAAAAGGGACGTACCTCTGAGATACTGACAAAGTGTCTAGGTCATATACGCTGGCATTACAGAGCTCATCAGCGATGATTCCAGCGGAAGAGTTGCAATTGCTATCCGAAATCTGACAGATCTGGTCGACTTTCTCGTGTGTACTTGGCACGCTCTGGGTTCGAATGTCTCAGACTATGTAACCGACACCATAATCACGGAGCTGAAAAGGTACAGGGAAAAGCATACCGAAAAGATAGTTAGCGCAGCTCTGCATCAATCTCTTGTCTATAGATGTCCGTCACTATGCTCGCGACTCTGGAGCGAACTCGACATTGTCCCGTTGGTTTTGGACCATAAGGACCGTGAAAGACAACATAATGACCATGGCGAGCTGGCGACGTTTGCCGGATGGCATAAGAAGGAGCTCGACGAGCGAGCAGATTCAATGGTGCGAAAGTGCATTCGGTTAGTATTCCTAGGTGGTAGTTGCCAATGCTGACTTGTGTAGTTCTTTTGGCATTGGCCATGTGCTGCACAATCATATAAATTTTGATGGCTCAGTGGATGTCGACAGAGGTTACCATGTACATCTTGCCAGTGCGGAAGACTATGAGAAGACGGTGGATCCTGACACATGGTCTTTGGCTCAATATTTTGCCCAGGATCTGAGGGAAAGGAAGGTGAAGGTCGCCTTCTTCAGTATGACCTGCCAAGGCAAGCCTGATGTTCCGACCAGACATGCCTTGTCAAGGTTTACCGAGAGTTTTGGGGTTCATGTTAAATGGTATGACTCTTATATCCTGGAGCCATTTTAGTTGTTATTCTTACATCGTTCTTACAGGTTTGTGCCGAAGCCACGTCCAGGGATGATTCCCCTCATTCGAAAAATGCAGGACACCCTGGAAGGACTAGGTGATCCCCTGTCAGATATCACCATCAACGATGAGCTACTGATCCTTGACTTTGCATACTCCAACGCCAGGAGATACTGGCTGTGCGAGAATGGGCCCCTTAGGCCTCGTGCGGAGGGAGGCGTCGACGTAGTGATTATTGATAGTGCGCCGCTCTTAACATTGGCTCTCCTGTCCAAGCAACAAGATCCCGAGCGGCCAGTCATATTTGAGAGCAGTCTCCAGCCCCAGGAAGAGTCACTGAATGATCCCAATAGCCCGCAGTCTCGAGCATGGGACTTCATCCGAACACGGCTAACCCACGTGGACTTGGTGGTGTCGCTACTCCCTAAGGAGCTTGCACCGCGTATTTTTCCGGAGGAGATTGTAGGCTACATGTCATTCTCTGTTGACCAGTACTGTCTCCACCCCTTTATGATTTGCACGCATGCTGATACAGTGTAGACTCGATGGTCAAAATAAAACTCTAACGGACTGGGACATCGGTTTCTACGGTCGTGAATTCAGCTCGTTATGCCGAACGCTTCAAATGACCATGATACGCTATCCAGATGGTAAGCCCCCAAAACCGGCCACCTTGGTCAATACTAAAATGTCTGCACATAGAGCAATACATCCTCCACCTATCCCAATTCCGACCCGGAGACGGAACACTCTGCCTTCTCCACGCATACCAAAGGTTCTGCGACGCCTATACCCAGGAGTATCAGAGCCGCCGAGTCCCCAAACTCCTAATTTGCCACCGCGGTCCATTCCGAACCCCCGAAAGCACCATTCTTTACGACGCAGCGATGTCCCAAATCGACAGCAGCGCGACTCTATCTGCATCCGTGTGCATCGTCCCCATCGGAACCGTCGATCAAATGTGGAACGCCCTACTCACGAATGCAAGAGCACTCGTTCAGCTATCCACTTTGCATGGGATCCCTGAGTTGCTTCTTACAGCTATTCAGAAGGGGACACCTGTTGTTGCTGTTCGGGAAGCCGAGCTGTTTCCTTTCGTGCATGAATCGGAGAATGCTATCTTGGTTGACAAGGGGGGTGAGGACGGGATAGCTCGATGTATTTTGAGGATTTTTAGTGTTGATAGGGTGTCTGCAGTGGAGGGAGGAGCGGGGTTTAGGAGGCTGTCTGATGCGAATACTACGGTTGGGAATGCGGTTGGTTGGTTGTATCTGTCGTCGAAGCTGTCGAGGGGAGTGAAGTTTGAGCCGAGGGGGGGAGATATTTATAAGTTGGCAAAAGAGGAAGCGGGGTGTGGTTCCTAGTTAACATGAGGATCTATGAAGTGAGATTGAAGTATACTATGATGGGTGATGAATGTATGAATATCCCGCAGTGTTAGTAGTACTAGTTGTTAGTATTGATTATATATATCTAATTGGGAGTTTACTGCCAGGACCATCATCATGTACCACTAATGGTTCAGACCCACCACTCTTGAGGTGTTGCTTATCATCGTCTCATTTTAGTTTTGCGCTGAAGCATATCCACGATGATATTATATATATTATACAGACATAAGAAATTGAACATTCATCTCCAGAGTTTGAAAATACCAAAACAGTAAATTGCGCACTTCATAGGTTCATTTCCTATGGAGCACTTTTTGGAGTGTAACTACTAAGCGGCCCATATGATTGGCTAGTCTGACAGAGGTGGGCCCAGTGGATCCACTACAGCTTCGGATCCAGAAAAAAATTGTATGCTTCCCCATCACGAACCACACCATGAGAGGTAAAAAACCTTCAAAAGCAAAAAGTAAAGCCCAACGCGGGGCTCGAACCCGCAGCCTTGAGATTAAGAGTCTCACGCTCTACCGATTGAGCTAGCCGGGCTTGCTCGTTGAAGATTGCTTGGTCAAGAGGGTATAAGAGCGGGATGGGAAGGTTGAGTGGTTCGTGCGATGGTAGAGGAAATGTTCACATGATAGCAACAGGGACAGGGAGGTTCAGCAAGAAGTGGAAATATGGGCATCTGGTTGTTAGAGATAATGTTAGTAGATATGTCTGGGTTGCATGTCTTTTGTCTCAGAGCACTGATGGCAGGTTATCATGGACGGGTGTCAGCTGGCAGGGATGCGTTTGCATGCTGCCCAAGGCTTCGTGTCTGGTGTATACGGTGGTGCCATGAATCTTGTGATAGTCCAGACTTTCATTGATCCTGGGAATTTCGTTGAGAGATGATTTGATTGTACTGGGATGTCGTTTGGACAGGGATAGAGACGCACCGCGCCACTTGCTGTGTACGAATCGTGTCACCAGTGTTGCACCACGGTCTCGGCGGGATAGTGCCACTGTCGAGTGTGTAGCAGCATCCAGCCTATGAATTTTAGTACCGCCGGTTCGAAGGCACAGGCAATCGATGAGAAACAGCACACAGTATATGATTGCATTCAGTACTCGTACAGCGGTACTTTGCAGCTGGAGGTGACTATGTTGTCATATCTCCACCGCCAAACCGGGCATCGGGGGTGGACCACAGGGGTCCGTACTTCAGCGTAACATCATGCTTGAGTAGATGCCCAGATAGCATGCACCCAACTCTTTGCAGGGGTAGTGAGGTGAGATGAAAGAAGCAGCAAGAGTCTTTATCATGCCACCTGTCTCCCTTAACAATACCCAGATAAGTACTGTATAGCTTGTAGCATTGTTCAATCAGCGACAAGGGATTAGGGGCGTGTCTGCTTGATTGGGACTAGCGTGTACAGCTATCACGTGCAGCACGGGCCCTAACCCAAATATCACGTGAATTGTCCCGCACTAGTCCTAATCGAGCAGAGGCGGTGACATCAGGTGTGCTCTTGCAGACTGAAAGAGGAAATGGCCGGAGGAAGAACATTCCCTGCTATGAATTATTGTTACTGGAGTAGCATCTCCCCATTGCAGCGTGCAGCAAGGTCATCCGCCCGATCGGCATTCGAACAGCATCTAGCCCATTCACCTGCAGACCAGGGAATTTTCACCCCGTGGTGGGCAGTTAGTTTGCTTTTGTTACAAAAGGAACAAATAATAAAGGTATTTGTATAGCGGGGCAGTGACGGCCGGAGTCAGTGACGTACTGGTTGCCCACACCCGCTTTTTCTCACCGGCACCTGCGCTGCTCTTCTCCCCCACCCTTTCAAACACAAGTTATCTCTTTGCCTCTCCTCTTCTCTCCATTACTCCATTCTTTCTTCTCCAGCTTTTGTTTTTTAAAAACCTTCTTGTTCAGCTGTTGCTCACCCCGAACAATTGCTGAACACCCTCCCCCCACATAATCCCATCGCACGATGGCTCCTCCCCAAGCTCCCGTGCAGCCGCCCAAGAGACGCCGTATCGGTGTCTTGACCTCTGGTGGCGATGCTCCCGGTATGAACGGTGTCGTCCGGGCGGTCGTCCGGATGGCCATCCACTCCGACTGTGAGGCCTTCGCCGTCTACGAAGGTTACGAGGGTCTCGTCAATGGCGGCGACATGATCCGTCAGCTTCACTGGGAGGATGTCCGCGGCTGGTTGTCCCGCGGTGGTACCTTGATCGGTTCCGCCCGCTGCATGACCTTCCGTGAGCGCCCCGGTCGTCTGCGCGCTGCCAAGAACATGGTCCTGCGTGGCATTGACGCCCTCGTCGTCTGTGGTGGTGATGGCAGTTTGACTGGTGCCGACCTGTTCCGTTCCGAATGGCCCGGTCTGTTGAAGGAATTGGTCGAGACGGGCGAATTGACCGAAGAGCAGGTCAAGCCATACCAGATTCTGAACATCGTCGGGTTGGTGGGTTCGATCGATAACGACATGTCCGGCACCGACGCTACCATCGGTTGCTACTCCTCCCTCACTCGTATTTGTGACGCCGTCGACGATGTCTTCGATACTGCCTTTTCCCACCAGCGTGGATTCGTCATTGAGGTCATGGGTCGTCACTGCGGTTGGCTGGCCTTGATGTCCGCTATCAGTACCGGTGCCGACTGGCTGTTCGTGCCCGAAATGCCGCCCAAGGACGGATGGGAGGATGACATGTGTGCTATCATCACCAAGGTGGGTAGATCGAAGACTCGTGAAGAGCTCTCGGGGCATCGCTAACTTCCTGCAGAACAGAAAGGAGCGTGGAAAGCGCAGGACGATCGTCATCGTCGCCGAAGGTGCCCAGGATCGCCATCTCAACAAGATTTCGAGCTCGAAGATTAAGGATATTCTGACGGAGCGGTTGAACCTGGATACCCGTGTGACTGTGTTGGGTCACACTCAGAGAGGTGGTGCCGCCTGTGCCTACGACCGCTGGCTGTCCACGTTGCAGGGTGTTGAGGCTGTCCGCGCGGTGCTGGACATGCAGCCCGGGGCCCCGTCCCCGGTCATCACCATCCGCGAGAACAAGATCCTGCGCATGCCGTTGATGGACGCTGTACAGCACACCAAGACGGTCACCAAGCACATCCAGAACAAGGAGTTCGCCGAAGCTATGGCCCTCCGTGATTCGGAATTCAAGGAGTACCACTACTCATACATTAACACCTCCACGCCCGACCACCCGAAGCTGCTCCTCCCAGAGAACAAGGTATGTCACATTGGAAGTCGTTGGGTACTGAGCTAACAGCGCGCAGAGAATGCGCATCGGTATTATCCACGTTGGCGCCCCCGCCGGTGGTATGAACCAGGCTACCCGCGCCGCCGTTGCCTACTGCCTGACTCGCGGCCACACCCCCCTGGCTATTCACAACGGTTTCCCCGGCCTCTGCCGGCACTATGATGACACTCCCATCTGCTCTGTGCGCGAGGTGGCTTGGCAGGAATCGGACAGCTGGGTCAACGAGGGTGGTTCGGATATCGGTACCAACCGTGGTCTGCCCGGCGATGACCTCGCGACGACGGCCAAGAGCTTCAAGAAGTTCGGCTTCGACGCGCTGTTCGTGGTGGGTGGATTCGAGGCGTTCACTGCCGTCAGCCAGCTTCGCCAGGCGCGCGAGAAGTACCCCGAGTTCAAGATCCCCATGACCGTGCTGCCGGCGACTATTTCCAACAACGTGCCGGGCACAGAATACTCGCTGGGTAGCGACACCTGCCTTAACACACTCATCGACTTCTGCGACGCCATCCGCCAGTCGGCCTCGTCTTCTCGTCGCCGTGTGTTCGTCATCGAGACACAGGGTGGCAAGTCGGGTTACATCGCCACGACGGCTGGTCTGTCCGTGGGCGCGGTGGCCGTGTACATTCCCGAGGAGGGCATCGACATTAAGATGCTGGCCCGCGACATCGACTTCCTGCGTGACAACTTTGCGCGCGACAAGGGAGCGAACCGCGCGGGTAAGATTATCCTGCGCAACGAGTGCGCGTCCAGCACGTACACGACGCAGGTGGTGGCCGACATGATCAAGGAGGAGGCCAAGGGACGCTTTGAGAGCCGTGCGGCGGTGCCGGGACACTTCCAGCAGGGTGGCAAGCCGTCGCCGATGGACCGTATCCGCGCGCTGCGGATGGCCACCAAGTGTATGCTGCACCTGGAGAGCTATGCAGGCAAGTCTGCGGATGAGATCGCTGCTGATGAGTTGTCTGCGTCGGTCATTGGCATCAAGGGCTCGCAGGTGTTGTTCTCGCCGATGGGCGGAGAAAACGGACTGGAAGCGACCGAGACGGATTGGGCTCGCCGCCGGCCCAAGACGGAGTTCTGGCTGGAGCTGCAGGACACGGTGAACATTCTGTCTGGCCGGGCGAGTGTGAACAATGCGACGTGGAGTTGCTACGAGAATGTTTAGCGCAGTAAGCAGCGATAAACGCCTAGACATAGAGTCAGGCTATGATGATGAAAGGTTATGAGCATACCGATTAAGTACAATACAAAGTAACATTTGAATAATAGCAGTACACAGTAAAGGTAGTCTATTTGAACACATACCCCTTAGCCTTCCAAATGAAATAATCCCTCCCCTTAGCCAACCACACCATAAAACTGACCAACACCCACCCAAACGCCTGCCCTGTACCCCCAGAACTACCAACAGGAACCAGCATCATCACATCGTTCCCTTCATCATACGTCTTCCTCCCACCTGCACCACATCCCCTCCTCCACCATCCCCTCCCCTTACCTCCATTCCCAACACCATTAATATTAATATTATTAATATCATCCACCAAATTCCCCACCACCACCCCAGCCATCTCATCCGCCTTGAACGACAACTTCTGCGTATGAGTGGTAATATCCCCCGCCGCATACACCCCCTCCACACCCTCCACTTTCAACTCCGAATCAACCCTCACCCAGCCCCGTTCATCAAGTACTTCGCGGGGTATATAAGAACTATTAGGCAGGACACCAATAGCCGGGATATAGATATCCGTCTCGAGCGTCTCCCCATTGTTGAGCTTGAGTTCATACCCCGCTCCATTATCCCTCGAAGAAGAAGACACAGAAATAACCTTCCGATCTGTGAGAACGCGCACGCCTTTGTTAGTAAGGAGGGATGTGGCTGTCTCGCTGGCGGAGGGTTTTAGGGTCGGGAGAATGCGCGGGGTGGATGAGATGAGGGTTATTTCTTTCTTCGATTCTCCTTCGGAGGAAGAGGAGGGAGAGGAGGAAGAGGGTGTGATGAGATCACCCAATTCACCCGCGATTTCTACCCCGATGGGACCTGCCCCGATGATAGTGATTCTTTTTGCGGTGGAGATGGTGGTCTGGGCGGATTTAATCGCCTCTGTGATTGTGGTGGTAGATGTGGGGGATAGTTTGAAGGGGTATATCTCCCCATTTTTACCATCTTTATCTTCACCAGGGAATAATGTTTCCGTTGAAGAAGCAGAGGGTGTACTCCCCGATGCGATAACCAGGTAATCATATTTGATTTCCCTCAATGTCTTAGGGTCGGTGCATTCCTCAACATTCAGTACTTTGTTCTCGAAATCGAGCGATGTTGCCCGTCCTAGGATGAATTCGAAGACATCCGGAGAATATTTTGCGAATCCATCGGCGATCGGGATGAGGTATTGGGACTCTGTGAACGCAGTTGGTTTGGTGAGGATGCGCGGGGCTGCGATGGCCCAGTAGAAATTGGGGGTGGGGTTGATGAGGAGGATTTTTATTTTTGGGCCCTTGTTGTTGTTGGTGGTAGTACTGTTGGGTGTGGTGAAGTGCGAGAGGAGGGAGTGGGCGGTGGTGAGGCCGGCGATGGAGGCGCCGATGATGGGGATTGTTATTGTTGATGTACTTTCGGGATTGGTCATTGTGGGTTGTGGTATACCAGAATAATTAATTAGGTAATTGGGGTGGTGGTGGTGTATGGAAAAGATGGAGGTAAATAAATACTTAGGATTAAAGTAGATTAAAGTAGTAGTGGCTACTACTAGTGGATTCTTATACTGTGGAAAGTTTGTCAGACATTCCCGCTGCTTGATAAGCGCCCGGGCGATCTGCACAACTCAACTAACTATTGGTATGGTGCCGATGGAGTAAGATTAACTATTTTCTTACTCTCACATCATCTTAACTAACTAATTCATATTTAAATACCCTGATTATATCCCTTGCAGCTCGTCCAGGAGCTGCACTGTCTCGGCGGGACTTGCGATCCACGCTGTCGTCGATGCCAGTCGGGCCTGTCATTATTAGCATCCACCTTACTTTCATTATAAGGAATAGGGAATACCTTGAAATCATTCGCACCCGCCGACAAAAACTGATCGCCAACATGCAGCGTCCGCGCCGGCTCGATCCCCCCAAAGTAGCGCTGACACGCGCGCACACCCCATGACTTATCACCAATATCCACAAACACATCATTGCCGCCTGAATAGGCATCAGTATAACATCACCTACGTAAAAAGCAGAGGGGGAAAGTATACCGTTAAAAGCACAAAATGGCAATCTAGCCCCCACCTCCGACCGCTCGACGGTATTCTGCACCACCAACACCGTCTCCTCCAACTGCTCGCGACTGATCCTCCCTCTTTCCGTGGGATACACTCCGACCGCGCGATCTTTGCGCAACACCGCGACCGGCAGATTCAAATTACTCGCACACGCGCGCAACGATGACTCGGCGATATCCAACAGCTGCGTGATATCCCCCTCCTGCCATGTCTTCATCTCCTCCAATAGCCATTCTTCACGGGGTACATAACTCAACTTTGAGGGGGAGGCATGGTCATACCGGAACAGAAAGTTGCTCTCTCCGCCCATGACGACCAGTCCGGCGCGCTGAGCGTCCGTCATTTCGGTTGACTCGTACATCGCATCCAGCAATCCCTTGAGTCGCTCGTAGTACTTCGCCGCGTCGGTGTAGCCCGCCGCGGTGACGATGCCGACTTTCTGTCCTTGTAGGAGGAGGCGCATGATGCGCAGAATTACGGGATTGTCGTCCGTCAGACAGGCGCCATCGTCGTAGAGAGTGACATCTCCGTCGAAAGTGACGAGGTCGACGCCGGTGGTGCGGGCCAGACCGAGGAGTTGGGCTGAGTTGAGGATGAGACGGATGTCGTTAAAAGAAGGGGCCACGAAGCGTCGTCGGCTGATAAAGCGCTGGGCGTCTTGGTGGCGGAAGGCGTCGACGAGGTATAAGGGGGTGAAGAAGGTGCCTACGGTGGGGACTAGTAGTTTGAGCTTGGATTTCCCCGGGGCGTCGTCTTCTTGGTGGGTTACTGCGTTTGTCAGTTGTTATTGTCCATATATTAAGAGAGAATGGGAAGGCTACTGTGGTCGCGAATGAGCATCTCCACGTCGCGGAAGATCTCCGCATAGCGCTGGTGCGTGTCGGCCGCTACGGCAATCAGATTCTCACTGTGTTCCTTGTAGACGGCGGTGGGCTGCGAGTGCAGCACAAAGGGGACGGCCAGAAGGCCCTACATTGTTTAGTATTGAGTGGTGAATTTATGGTTGGAAGGAATCGTACTTTGATCCATTCAATCTGGGAACTGGTTAGTCATGTCCTATGCTGATAGGAACAGGGAATAGGAAGTACCAATTGGTCTCGACGGTGAGACTGAGCGAGTTAGCATGAACTGGCAGCAGAGATGACTGCCTACCTTGAGAGCATCTGAGAGAGTAATTAGATGAGTCAATGGGATTTGAAAGGACAATTCAACTTACATTCAACACGATAGCGGGTAGTCATCGTGAGGGGAAGCTTAAAGCTGGAAGCTGTCCTTTGGGATCGGCGGTGAGGGAGTCAATGGCACAACCACGAACGAGGGGGGATCGACAAGATATTTAAAAGCCGTCAATGAATGAATGAGAATAGAACAGAGTAAATAAGAAAGGAAAATAACCATGCAAGGAGAGAGCAGAAGAAGAAGCAACAGTTGAGATAGGGATGACACAGTGCTTGTCATCTGACCGGGCCAGCGGGGCTACCAGCCAATCACAGATCACATCGGAGCTCTCCGACACGCCAGTTGGCGGGCTGCGATGCACATGGGGATGCACAAGCGGTCAGCTATTGCTTTCATTACAGGGGATCCATCTGTACAATCTGCTTCTTCAATTGCATTTAATTCATATAGATCAAGCTCCTAGCTAAGTAACATACCAAGAAACAGTTACACCCGTTCGCGATGCTCCGCCCCTCCAAATCCATCCTCCACCTGCTGCTGTTTATCTGCCACCACCTGATCCTGCTGGTCGGCATCACGGTTGCCATGCCGTCCAATTTGATACCATGGCAATGCAAACAACCGGTCCATACTCTCCAAGCTTCGTCCCGCTGTCTCAGGCACACTGAACCACACCCACAGCCCACCCAACACCGTCACAGCTGAGAAGAACCAGAACGTGCCCTTGGGGGTGATGCCGCCTTCCGCAGTACCCAGCAACATGTTTGGCACCGCTCGGGAGTTACCATACTGATTGACAAAATGCAGTGTCATGGCAGCAGAGGTAGCCAATGCACGGATGCGTAGCGGGAACAGCTCCGCTGTCAGCAGGTACTGCATGGAGTTCCAGCCCAATGCCCAGCCCACACCGGAGATGTAGATCATAGCAATGGCTCCGCGACTACTACCCCTCTTTGACTCGGGCAGGACAAAGTCGTCAACAATGCCCATTTCAGGAACAGAAGTGAGGAAGCTAGCGACGTAGATCATGGAAATAGCCTGCAGCGTTATTCCCAGGAGTAGGGCGCGTTTGCGACCAATCACATCCACCAGGAACAGAGCGCAGATTACCGCCGCGGTCAGCTTGACGATACCGAACACTGCTGTCACCAGGAGAGACTCGTTGGATCCTGTGATGCCAAGGAGACTGAACAGATCCGGCGCATACAGCGTGATGGATCCTGCACCGGACCATTGGGAGAGTAGCTGCGCCATGGCGGCGAGGTACAGTCGGTACAGGTTGCTCGGGACCATGATGGCCTCCTTGACAATCCCTAACCAGCCAGCACCCATGGTAGCCTCCATCTCCGCCTGATGGGCATTCTGGATACCTGTGAACTCCTCCACAACGTATTCGTGGTCCGGAGGGAGGTTGCGGAGGCGCGCAAGGTTGTTCAACGCTTCTTCGGGCTTGCCTTTCTTGACAAGGAAGCGAGGCGACTCGTACTGCACGAAGGAGAGGAGGAAGATGAGACCGGCGAACATAATGTGAAGACTAGTTGGAACTTCCTAGGTAGGGTCAGTAACCTGCTATGGATAAGGTGAATAAGGCTTACCCATCGCTTGTGGGTGTGGTCGCCCATATGCAATTGGCAGCCATAGTTGGTGAAGTAGGCGAGCACAATTCCCAGGTAGACAAAGCCGGTAAAAACACAAGTGCAGAGACCGCGGACAGATGCAGGGGCCTATTGCTGGTCAATCCAGTTCGACAGGGAATAAGATATGTCACTCACGATCTCGGCCAAGTAGACTGGCCCTACGACTACAGTCTGGCCCACCCCCAGTCCGGCCACGAAGCGACCGGCGTAGACAGCACCCAAGCTACCGTTGGCACCAACACCCATGAAGATGGCAATTCCCAGGATCCAAAGGACACACAGCTGGCGAGTTGCCCACAGCCGTCCAATACGGTCGCACACAAGGAATGCACTAGAACACTGTCAGCAGACAGACTTAACGGGTCATTTTGGTGAAGGCGTACAAGAGTGCTCCTCCCACAGAGCCAATCTGCACCATGGCGGACACATTCGCCTTGATATTAGTCTGTTCCACCTCACTGTACGTGTCGAGATGAATCGTGCGCTGAAAGTCTTTGGAGTTGAAAGCACCCGAGATCAACCCCTCGTCGACACCACGGGCAGCGCCCATGAGGCCAAAGGAGAGCACGGCAAACCATAGTCTCCAGTTGAAGACCTCCTTGGGGTCAGCCAGGTTGCGCAAACGAAAAATGTTAACTGGTTTCTTGGAACCCGCCATGATTGTACACAGTCAACTGGGGAAAGGTTGGACGAGCCACAAAGGATTCTTAACCAGCTGGCTTCTGCAAGGGAGGAGGGGCATTTATAGCAGTCACTCCCATCAGAACTACGTCGGGTACCGACAGCCAGTCGGAACGGCACCTATTCATGGTGAGGTAGGACAAACCAGCCGGGGAGAGAATTCACTACGACGAATGTGATCATGCGGGGAAGAATCGGGGAGACAGCAGCCAATGGATCGTACAGGGAACGATATCCACCAGGGAGACATCCCACGTTGGCATCCGACTTGTCGCGACGAGCTTATCACCGCTTGACATGCTGGACAGCTTGGCGAGTTGGAAAGCAACAAAGATCCGACGACGCGCTGGGTTTGTTGTGGGACGGAGCGTCTTGGCTGCGGGGGACAATCCGGGGATCGAGCCTCTTCGTGCCACCCCCTAGACCCGGTCCTGAGAGTGAAGGTGGGACAGACCGACAATCTGGGGACGAGGCTCGGTCAACTTCCGCTCAGGACTAACGGAGACAGGCCGTCGAGATGCGAGTGAAAGGCTTCGGGGTAGGCTTGGCAGGCGGGAGACCGGAGATGGAATCAGCGCTGGCAGGCACGGGATATGGCTTCCTGGGGGAATGAAATGAAAGTTCGACGGGAGCCACGCGGCGTGAGATGTTGGGGTCATGCGGGGGTTCAGCCAAGGGGGTCCCTTACTCAGGGTCTAATCAACACTAACAGGGCACTAAGAAAGCAAACATGATGGTGGTTGGCTCATCCTGCTGGTCGGTCAAAGCCGATGGGTGGGGGATACATGACGTTGCTGGGCACGATCGATCAGCTGTCTTACAATCCGGGGTGCA